CAAAAGCATAGCCGTTAAGAGAAATTCAAGTAACCAAGGGCAGATCAGTTGCAATATGTTGGTTATCTCTAAGACTACTTAATAAAAATATAAGTAGCATAGTCGATTGCAATTCGAATATAAACACATTATAGACATTGTTTGACCTTGTTTTTGCAACTCGGTCCTATTGGTAGGAAGACTTGGAGGAATGCATTTAGTCCATTGCATGCATAATCATTTCTAAAGTTTGCGAATGTACCACATCGACGACTTCAGACTCGGCGCGTTCCTCTAAGTCCTTCTACCAAAATGACCAAGTTGCCAAAACAAGGTCAAAGCAATTTATTATAAGAACGAAAGGAGACTGCGACCACACAAAAGGCCACACCATCTTGGTCTTCATACCTTCGATAAACCCATTCTATGTCAAGATTATCCTCAGATCCAGTCAGCCTAGGTTGGATAAAGTGATCAAGGACTTGATCACAACTTGAGGCCTACTCGCATCATTCACGGCTTATTGATAGCTGCAAATAACTACTTCCGCTGAATATAAGTAGCGTATTATGACTTGACATTGAATTCGCCAAAAAAATTAGGTGAGAATTAATTGGTGAGTGGCGTGGAATGAAGACTGTCGGATTGCGCGAACAAGTTCTCGGCTCACCGTCCAGCGAGTCGAATGGACCCGAGCTGAACTTTTGTCTGTACCGCCGCGAGAGACATCATCGAAGCAAGTGTCCACACGTTGCGCAATAGCGCACCGATGTCGGGACTGTCACACCTTTTTGAGACATGAACATTGCATACACACAATCTAGAATGGCACACACCTAAACACGGGTCACATGAGACAACTGTTTGCTATTTTATTTATTTAGGCAAGGATACAGCTGCCACCGCGTCCGCTTCTTGTTCGTGAATTCATTTCATTCCTCGGCCAGCATGTAAAGTAGGCTCAAAGTGGCCGGCCCAATTCTGCGAGGTGGCATTCAAACGACAAGACGACGTTCAAGAAGTCACTTTGCTTGCAGCCGGCCAGCTTTTCTCTTGGTTTAGCCTATTGCTGGGCTGTTTGGTAAAGTTTGGATTCTTGCTCTGATGATGGCTGTCACGGCGCAACAGACGTGGCTCAACTCGCCTTCATCAAACTGACAGGACGCTGAGCCGAGCACTTCTTCGCGCACTCCTACAGTCATCATTTCATTCCATGCCACTCAATCCTGCTTTGGTTTCTGCTGAGACCAATTCAAGCATCCTTTCTAACCCACTTTTTCTTCAATAACGAAAGTTGAGCTACATTAAATCACTATGGGATTCTTAAAAACTATCTTATCTTCATACATACATACACACACACATACATAGATAAATACATAAATACATACATACATAG